TTCTGTTTTTCTTTTTAAAAGCTGCATTAATTTCTTACAGCGACACTGTGAGACAGGTAGGGTAAGGAGGTTACCATATTTCAGTAATAGAGCCGGGCCCAGGGGCTTATGCCTGTAATCCTAGCTACTCAGGAGGCAAAGATCAGGAGGATCACGGTTTGAAGTCAGCCTGGGCAAATAGTTCACCAGACCCTATGTTGAAAAAGCCTTCACAAAAATACGGCTGGTGAAGTGGCTCAAGGCAAAGGCCCTGAGTTCAAGCCCCAGTACTGCAAAAAAAAAGAAAGAAAGAAAGAAAAAAAAAGGTAATAGAAGCAATCATATCACAGTCTTGCTGTATCATTGCTCATAACAGACTTCAGAGCTTAGCTCAGGGCTACTGCATACAGTTATGCAAGTTGTGCACTACAAAATTTAGAAGGCACCATTCACATGTGTCCTCTTTTATTGTGACAATTTTCTGCAAATAGCAGTAAGGGGTTGGCTTAGGTACCTGGCCACAGTTGCTGGTGTGTTTCCAGAGAGCAGGGCATGCCTCTTCCCAACATCTGACATGAACATGAAATAAATCCCAGCTACTAACAGGGTGCTGACAAACTAAGAGCTAAAATGTGCTTCAGGGGGAAACAGAAGTTCCTTTTGATTTTGAACTAATGAATTCTGTACCCAGTCCAGAAATCACACCATAACTTAGCTTTAGAAAATCTCAGCTTAATATATTCCTGTAGACCCGATTGATCTTCCAGAAATCTTTAGATCCCAAAGATTACAAGGAAGTTTTGGGAGTTCAGCACATCAGACACCCTGGCAAATTAATATCCCTGGGTTGATGTGAGATTAATAAATAACTTGGAGTATTTGAAGACATTTCTCAGGCCCTGACATCTTGATCAAAAGGGTAAAATTGAATTTCTGTACTACAAAATTTTAGACTAAACCAATCCTAGTAATTCATAAACATGTATTTCCTGGGGACAGAGTCAGAGGAGGCCGATAACACAGTGCTCACATAAGTAGGTGTGAGATAATCACAAAAGAAGCTACCATGTGCTGAGTCCTTACCACATTTTATCACCTGTGGCATCTCACCCAACCCAGGCAGCCATATTATGAGGGGTACCATTGTCACCCCCAGTACACATGGGGCACTAGGGCTTGAAGAAGGTAAATAGCTTGTTAAAAAGCCATCCAGCTAAAAAGTAGGCAGATTTAGTCAGAACCAATAGTAGTGATTTCTGAAAACCCAGGTAGACTAGAATGTGCCAAAAAACATTTTCATCTTAAAAACAAATTTGGCAGAGGGCAACTATTTCAGCAAGTAGTTCCCTGCTGGCCAGATCTTGTAGTACCAAAGACTTTCCTTCAGGAGCCAGCTGCCCCTTTCTCAATGTACTCTGTGTTCCCAAACATTTGTGTCTATCAAAAAATTGTATTTATGATGTCTCATTTCATTGGATTTTTTTGATGAGTGAAAGATGTATTTAATTGCCAGACATCATTTTTGATTAGGAAAAGAAATCCCAGCTTAAGACCCTGTGCTGAAATCATTCCAGCCCAAAGCAAAGACACTTGACATTTAATTCAAGGATGAAAAGAATTCGTGTTCCATTGCTCATTGGCATAAAACCCTTCAAGACTCACTTCACTCAAGGCAATGCCAGCTACTTTGGGAAATGAGTGAAAGAGTGTGGCTGCTTAGCGTAGGGGGCAAGAGCACATGCTAAGGGAACACAAAGCACTGGCTCCTCTCCTGGGAATGAAAGGACAGGAGCTTACCATGTGCCTGGCTGCCTGGCGCGCTACTGAGGCTCTCAGAGCATCTTTTCATCAAACTTACATCCCAAGGAGGTAGCTAAGGTCCCAGGCATCATTTTCCCAATGGGAAAACGAAATCTTACAGAACACAGGAAACTTGTTCAAGTTCACCCAAGCTAGAAGAGGCAGAGCAGGGCCTGTCACCAGGTCTGTGGCAGCTGCCTGGGCTTATTACCACCCTACTGCTTTTCTGCTTCAGTGGTCCCCTACCTGAGCTACTTCAGAATCACCTGAGGGCTTTTCAAACACAGATGGTTAGTTCCATTCTAAGAGTTTCTGATTCAGTGGTGGTAGGGTGGAGAATTTACTGGCCTAACCTGTTCCCAAAACAGTCGGTTTCTGCTGGTCTGGAGGCCACACACTGGGAACAACTGTTTTATATTTATGTGACTCATGGCTGTGTTCAGGCAGAATGTCTCAATTTAGAGGTTTCTGGGTATAACCTCCTTCACCCCTACCACTCCAGCACCCCACGCTTCTGCCATCAGCTCTCCCCTGGGCCCAGGTAGACCCCTCCTTTGCCTTTTGGAAAGCTAACCCCATCTCATGTAGTGCTTACCCGGGAGCCAGTCCATCCCAGCAGGGCAAAAGCCCGGCGCTCATAGGGGCACATGACCAAGTCTACACGGATGGCCTTCCATGTCTTTTCTTCCTGCTGGCTGCACTTGTCACTGTCCACTCTCTGATGGTGCAATTTCAAAATGAGAAAGCATTTTTGAAAATGATCTAAAGCATCCACCTTTCTGCTAGGCAACTTGAACTTTTCAAATGTCGACTCCACAAGGTCACAGTATAAAAGTAATCCCTGGAAAGCAATAGGGACGACGTCAGGAAGGGTCTCTAATGGAGAACATCTGTTATTTTTTTTTTTATTATTCATATGTGCATACAATGTTTGGGTCATTTCTTCCCCCTTCCCCCCCACCTCCTCCCTTACCCCCCCGCCCCCTCCCTCTCCCCCCACCCCCTCGATACCCAGCAGAAACAATTTTGCCATTATCTCTAATTTTGTTGAGGAGAGAGTATAAGCAATAATAGGAAGGAACAAGGGTTTTTGCTAGTCGAGATAAGGATAGCTATACAGGGAGTTGACTCGCATTGATTTCCTGTGCAACTGTGTTACCTACTAAGTTAATTCTTCTCGAACTAACCTTTTCTCTAATTCCTGGTCCCCTTCTCCTATTGGCCTCAGTTGCTTTAAAGTATCTGCTTTAGTTTCTCTGCGTTGAGGGCAACAAATGCTATCCAGTTTTTTAGGTGTCTTACCTATCCTCACCCCTCCCTTGTGTGCTCTTGCTTTATCATGTGAACAAAGTTCAATCCCCTTGTTGTGTTTGCCCTTGATCTAATATCTGCATATGGGAGAGAACATATGATTTTTGGTCTTTTGGGCCAGGCTAACCTCACTCAGAATGATGTTCTCCAATTCCATCCATTTACCAGCGAATAATAACATTTCGTTCTTCTTCATGGCTGCATAAAATTCCATTGTGTATAGATACCACATTTTCTTAATCCATTCGTCAGTGGTGGGGCATCTTGGCTGTTTCCATAGCTTGGCTATTGTGAATAGTGCTGCAATAAACATGGGTGTGCAGGTGCCTCTGGAGTAACAGTCTTTTGGGTATATCCCCAAGAGTGGTATTGCTGGATCAAATGGTAGATCGATGTCCAGCTTTTTAAGTAGCCTCCAAATTTTTTTCCAGAGTGGTTGTACTAGTTTACATTCCCACCAGCAGTGTAAGAGGGTTCCTTTTTCCCTGCATCCTCGCCAACACCTGTTGTTTGTGGTGTTGCTAATGATGGCAATTCTAACAGGGGTGAGGTGGAATCTTAGCGTGGTTTTAATTTGCATTTCCTTTATTGCTAGAGATGGTGAGCATTTTTTTCATGTGTTTTTTGGCCATTTGAATTTCTTCTTTTGAGAAAGTTCTGTTTAGTTCACTTGCCCATTTCTTTATTGGTTCATTAATTTTGGGAGAATTTAGTTTTTTTAAGTTCCCTATATATTCTGGTTATCAGTCGCATCTGTTATTTTATAGCAGGCTCTTAACGAAGTCTTTAGAGTCTAGCAGAATGTGGGTGTGTTTTTGTTCTTGCATCAGAAGCCCACCTGGCAACATTAGTAAAAGAAACTAAGTAAGTGGTTGTCTTATCCTCCCTCTGCAGAAAAGGAGTTGAGCAATCAGAGAGGCTGAAAGTTTGGAGAGACTCCACCTCCCCACTTCTGATTCTCAGCTAGGCGTCAGTGACTCCCCTGACCCCTTTAAAAGCAAACCAACCATAAACAAAAAACTCTGCTGCCTCTTGTGGTGTCTTTGGCCATACTGATGACCAGGTTGAACTGGCCCAAGGGGTTGTGGTTAGAGGTTCAGCTGTACTTTGCTGCAGGGCAACTTACTATTTCTGACAGCCCTGGGGAGTCTGTTTCTTCTGAGAGATGGCTACTCTGTCTGCCTGTTTCATCTAAAGTTGCCTACTCAGAAAGTTAACAAGTGATTTGAAGTTATGCCCGAACAAGTTGCCCTCCTGCAGTCTATTTGCCCCTGGACAAATGTGACATGCAATTAACTGCTAAACAAAGAAACCCGAGAGAACAAATAACAAAGAATAGAAAACCCCAAATAATGTAATTGCAGCTATTGGACTTTGTGATTTGTTATGATGTAGTCTTAAGGTCAGATATTCTCAAGTTTTATCATCAAAAGCATTTGGAAGGTTTGTTAAAACACAGTTTGCAGGGCCCTGTCCTCAGAATGACCCAGTAGGGTAAGGGTGAGGGACCAGGAATTTGCATCTCTAACAAATCTCCAAGTGATGCTGACGCTGCTGGCAGGGAATCGCACTTTGTGCATCACCGGTTCAGCTTGTTATTATTGGCTTCCTAACAGTGAACTGTGTGTGTGCTATGGCCACATGGTGTGACGCTTGGATGGTAATAGACATGTGAGCCATCCTTGGGATGAATTTGGCAAGGCATTTGGGAATGCCTTCCTCTAATGAGATGCTTCTGTTGGTGTGCTGGGTTCTATTTACAGCAGGACATGGCTGTCAACATGTACACAACTCTTGATGTGTCTCCAGTTCTCTTGCCTGGAGTTTTTGCTGGCATCTCTTGTTTTCTATAATTCCCTTCCTTGTCCCCAATTCCCTTGAGGTGAATTTTCTTCTCTGAAAACACCTTTCAAGTGTTGGGCTCTGTCTTCCCCATCAATACCCACAAGTTGACTGGATATTCACATCAGCCTGTTCTTTTTTCCCACTGAAAACTGAAAGAGTCCTCATGAGAAAGGAGGATTTACCCTGCTCCCCTGGGGTCAGAGCAGCATAAAGAAGGGGTAGAAAGAGAGAGAGACAGAGATATGGGACAGGTTTGGCTTTACATCCCACAAGAAGGAGACTCCACTACCAATTTAACAAGGCAAAATTAGCCACAGGCTAGCCCAAACTACCAAGCAAGAGCAGGGAGGGTTGCAAAGGGGCTGAGGGGGCCTTCCAGCCAGGATTCCTTCACACCCTTTGCTTTCAGTCCCCTCTATCCTCCCCCTCAGAAGAATCAGTAATCTGCTATTCCAAGTCAATTTTTTAAAGTGTGTACAGTCTTCCCTTGGATTGATTCACAATCCCTGCTGATACCTGAATTTACAGATGTCAAATCCCTTATACAAAATGGTTTAGTATGCTGAGCAGTGGTGTCTCATGCCTGTAATCCTATCTACTCAGGAGGCAGAGATCAGGAGGATTGCGGTTCAAAGCCAGCCTGGGCAAATAGTTCATAATACCCTATCTTGAAAAAACCCATCACACACACAAAAAAAGTCTGGTGGAGTGGCTCAAGGTGTAGGCCCTGATTGCCTTTTTTTTTTTTTTTTTGGTGGCATTGGAGTTTGAACTCAGGGCCTCACACTTGCTAGGTAGGTGCTCTTACTGCTCGAGCCACTCCGCCAGCCTGGGTGTAGGCCCTGAGTTCAAACCCTAGTAACATGAAAAAAAAATGGTGTAATATTTGCACATCCTCCTGTATACTCTAAATCATCTCTAGATTAGTTACCATACCTAATAACGGTGTAAACAGTCATCTTATTGTATTGCTTAGGGGAAAAGTCTGTACTTTGCAGCAAGGATGCAATTTTTTCTCTAGTATTTCTTATCTTGGATAAGAATCCATGGATGCAGAGCCGGAGGTCACAGAAGGCTGACTCTCTAATGAGTGTCAACACTTCCCATCTCCCAGCAGTTCCATGAACCAGAAATATGGCCGTACAGGTATGGCCCTGTCCCCATGGTTCTGCTCATGAGCTGTGAACACAAACCAGAACCACTTCGACTCCTTTCTTTGTGGTGAACTACTGGCAGCCAGTGTTACAATTCAGGCAAATAGAGTCTTCAGGGATGGCAATCCTCCCCCAAAGTTCAATATTTAACTTAATATTTATAAGCTCTTTGCCTCTCTTTCCTGCCCTTGGCCAAGGGGCTTTCTCCAAGGACAAAATTTAGAGTCATCTGCTAGGTGCCTCACACTGTTGCACTAAGCTTCATGGGTATCTTAACACGTGGTACACATTGTGTGAGTATGTGCTATACAGATGATAACATACCATCTGAAGAGCTTAGTTTGGGTGAGAATGGCAGGGCTGGGAGTAAGGTAGCGGTGGAAGTTAAATAGGAAGAATTTTGCTGGTTTCACAACCGAGGTGTGTGGGGCAGGCCTGGAGCTGCAGGGGTGCTTTCAGGGATGGGACACCAAACTGTTCCACACCTTTTCCCTGGGGGGAAGTTTTCAGTGACTGAAGAGGAATGGGCCACATCTGCTCCCTCCTGGGTTGCCTCATCTGGCCCAGTGCCTGGCTCTCAGGAAGAGTTCAATAAGTAATTGGGTGTGAGCGATCATGATAACTGGCACCATTTATTAGACATTTACCATTTATCAGGCCTTATTTAATGCCCCTGTTAATGGATGGCAGGTTCGGCATCCTGTTTCACAGATGAGGAAACTGGACTGTGAAAGATTAAAGGGCCATTCCAAGTCATACAGCCACTAAATGTCAGGGTTGTTCTTCTAAAGCCCTGGCTCTAACGTGTTAACCATGAACCTCTACCACAGGGCCTATACTTACAATGCCTAACCCTGCCTGGGGATGGCAGGGTGTCTGCCCTGAAGCTACGGAAAAACCAGTGAAGGAGGATTCTTCACTGCCATCCCCCCACCTACCCCAGCCTTGGATAGTCTTAGCATGAGGAAGATGGGACCCATAGGCCAAGGTCAATAGGCCTACTCTTACAAGGGTCTCTCAGGTAGGCTCCAGGCAACCCATTCCACCCAGGTCTCAGCTAGTAGAGCCCAGGATTGGGCTCCTTGGCCAGTGAAAATCTTTCATTTTCCTTGCCTAAGTAGAGAAGCAGGCCACCGTAGCTGACTTCCTTGTCCCGCCCTTTTCCTGGCTGGGCCTTTTATGTCTACTTCCAGGGGCCTTGATCTCTCTGTGCCATTCTCCTGAGAGGGACAACGGCACATGGAGTAGTCTTACAGGGGAATTAGGATCCCGATCTGGTTCCAAAACTCAGTCTTTATCTCCTGTGTCCATACTCTGATGCTACATGTTTCTAGCTCTCATTTTCACTTTGCCAGCGGTCGTCTCTCTCTGGTTTATCAGTGAGCTAGGCCTACACCTCAGGAAGCTTACCACTCAGGAAAGATGAAGCCACACCAGGGACACGCTGGTCCAGACAGACCTACAGGTCCTCAGGGTAGGGCCTCTGGTCTCTCTGTGAAGTGGGGCTCTCACTAGGGAGGGACAAGAGTCAGGCCTGAACAGGTGGCCATGGGTATGGGGTTAGTTTAGCTCAGCTTCCTCTGCTGGGCAGTAGGCTGCCCTGTCACGGATCTGATTTCATCCTGGGTGGGGGCTCAGAGACATGACTCTTCTGGGCTCAGCTTGCCCTCATTAGTTTCCGTCTGATTTCAGCACACAGTCAAGGTGGGAACTGACCCGCATAGAATTCAAAGCACCAATGTCTCCCATTAAACCAATTCTGTCCCACTTTTAGTAGACTCATCTGCCTTAATGCTGTAACTCTCCCAGCTCACACTTCCCTGGCCTCATAGGGCATGGTCCTCCTTTTGTTCAGGAGTCTTGCCTCTGCATATGAAACACAAATGCTTAGCCGGCAAAGCCCACGTTGGCAACAGGAAAATTGTAAATAAACATATACATAGTCATAATGTGTTTTCTAGGGTCTAAATGAGGAAAGTGTTATTACAGGTCACAGGACATTGTGACAAGGTTCTACTAATAATCAAGAACTGATTATGAATTATGAGGTAAATAATGTATAAAATTCAGCAATGCTAGCATGCTTAAGCATGCAACCATCTTTTTTTGGATTTTTTTTTTTTGTGTGTGGTAATGGGGTTTGAACTCAGGGCCTCACCTTTGTTATGCAGGTGCTCTACTGCTTGAGCACACCTGCAGCCCTTTTTGCTTTAGTTATTTTTTCAGACAGAGTCTCAAGTTTCTGCTTAGGACCAGCCTTGGACTGTGATCCTCCGACCTGTAGCTCCCCACGGCTGGGGTTACAGACAGACACCATCACACCAGCTTGTTGGTTAATATGGAGTCGTGCTGGCTTTTTTGCCCCCAGCCTAAACTAGAACTGCCATCTTCCTGGTCTCTGCCTCTTGAGTAGCTGGGATTACAGGAATGGACTACTATACTCAGCCTTCATCTTTCTTCTTACCTTCTTTTCCCACAGTTTTGTAACTTTATGCAAGAGTTGTTGCTCTTCTTCCTCTGTTGCTTCTTGGCTGGTAATTAAAAAATCTACATCATGTCCAATCTTCTTACCCCTATTTAAAACAGAACAAAATTAGGCAAGATTTTTAGCTCTTGGTTTTTAAAAACTGTCCTTGTTTCTATGACTTATGTCTTTGTTTCTATTTAAAACAGAACAAAATTAGGCTAGATTTTTAGCTCTTAGTTTTTAAAAACTGTCTTTGTTTCTAGCTTTTTTTTTGGTACTGGACTTTTTTTTCTTTGCTGTATTAAGCCTTGAACTCAGGGCCTCACACTTGCTAGGCAGGCACTCCATCACTTGAGCCACATCCCAGTGGTATTGGATTTTTAACTCAGGGCCTTGAGCTTGTTAAGTAAGCACTCTACCACTTAAGTCACTCCCCCAGACATTTTTTATTTAATTTGTTTTAGATATGGTTTTGTGCTTTGCTCGGGGTTGGCCTCAGACCATGATCCTCCTACCTCTGCCTCTCTAGTAGCTGGATTACAGGCATGTGCCACCCATGCCTGGCCTCATGACATTTTTAAAAATAAAATATCCTTCATTTTACAACTCTGTCCCTTGCAAAATAAATTTATGACACAGAAAAATCTATATGTAGTATGTATATGATTATGTATGGGGGGCAGAAAGTAACAAAGAAGGTTGTTTCTTCTATATATACACTGATACCTACAGACACACATGTACACACACACATACACACACACAACACACACACTGGGAAACAAACATGACAAGCAAAGCAAGAACTATATTCATATAATAGAAGGCAGCACTCTTGAATTATGATATAGATTAAGGGAATTTTCTTGGATTCAGTCTTTTCTCACTTTTTCCTCCACCCCAATCCTGGCTGGTCAGAATAGTCAGCAATAGCCAGAATAGCCACCAGGCTGGAGAGTCAGGAGAAGTGGAGAAGGGGATGGGAGGGAAGGAATCCCTTTCTGAGGTGGAGGCCTCCATATCCAGCAACTGCACACATCTCTGAAGAGTTCATTCACTCATTCACTGACTCAACCAAGACTTCCTGAGCACAACTAAGTACCCTGGTCTCTAAGAGTTTAGTGAGGAAGCACACATAGGAGCAAATTACTGTAAAACTGCAACGAGGGTTTGGCAGGTGTCCAGGCAGCACTGAAGAGAGATCCCTAAGCCAACATAAAAGTGGAGGAGTCAAGGAAGGCCTTCTGGAGGAGGTGGCATCTAGACTGAGTGTTAGAGGATGAGGAGAAGTCAATCAGGAGAATGGCAGTCCAAGGAGAAAATTCCAACTGAGTAAAGTCACAGAGGCAAGAAACATGTGCAGGAGATGACAAGCCATTTGTTGCTGCTGAAAAGAAACAGGAAGGGCAGGAGACACTGCAGAGAGAGACTGGAACCAGATTACAAAAGGCCTTGTGTGCTGTTTCAGATCCTGAATGCCACAGGAGCCACTGAAGGTGTTACAGCAGGGAAGGCAAAGCCACCTAGTGAATTTACCTCCGGAAACCTCCTGTGATGGTGACAAGGGCATTAGGAAGAAATGCCCAGACAGCCTCTTTCACCAACATGCTGACTGCCTCTGCTTCTGCCCTGGTCACACAGCTGACAAGGTCTTCGTAATAGAGGAATCCTGGGTGGTTGACAGGTCAATGGAGAAAATGCAATACGAACAGAATAACCAGCCCTCAGTAGAAAGGATTCTGCTCCCAGACAGAGCTACAAGGCCATCGGCATTAACCAAACTCCATTTCCATAGAGACACAGTAATCCACACAGTTCATTTGGCTGTGAGTTTTCCATGGCTCTTTGACTTCTGACTGAGTAGCTTACAGCATCCTTAGGAGACAACATTCCATAACCCCCAGGAATCCAAACTCTTCCAATCTGATGCCCTAATAAAGAACCAGCCTGTTGACCAATAAATTGTATCTTATTATTTTAAAAAGTTTGTGCATAAAGATTTGGAGTGAGAAGATTGAGGATCAGGATATGATGGATCAATTACATAAATGAGGGTCAACAAGAGGCTGAGGGTAGATTTGTGTCTGAAGCAAGATAGGAAGTGTCTTAGGTAGCTTGGCTTTTGCCTCTTTGCCTGACCATCGTGAACAGATGAAAGATCAGACAGTGTTGCTATGGGGAGGAGCTACTGACTTGGCACAAGAGAAGGAGGCTTATTTCTAAGGATTGGGGTAAAGGGCTGGAAGGGAGCTAGAAGGTTGGGGAGAGTCATTGAACCCAAGTGACATCTAATTATGCTTCAATGCAAAGCACTGCTCTTTGATTTAGGGTTCCTAAGAGGGAGCCATCCAAACTCTGCTTGAATCTCTGTAATAATGGAGCTCTGACACCTCCAGAGGCAGCCCACTTCCTTGTCGTAAACTCTGCTTGGGAAGTTCTCTCTTATAATGAGCTTGTAAGGAAAGGATGAAGGAGGGTGAATATGGTGGAAATACAATGTACTCACGTATGAAAATGGAAAAATGAGACCTGTTGAAACTATTCTAAGAAGTGTGGAAAAGGGGATAAAGGAGAATGATGGAGGGAGTTAATTCAACTAAGATATATCGTAAGCACTTTTGTAAATGTCACAATGTATCCCCAGTACAACTACAATATGCTTATAAAAATTTTAAAAAGACTACTTCCTTGCAGACTGCCTCCCCCCGCCCACACACATGCCATGAGCTCTAGGAAAGGACTCAGAACAAATCTGCTGGTCCTTGCCTCTCACCCCAGTAGCATGCAGAGAGGTGGAGGGAGGCCATTTGGGTGAGCATCCTGTTTGCAAAGTTCTCAATTCAAACTTTCCTTGTTAGTTGGGTGTGGAAGTGCACACATGTGATCCCAGGATGTGGGAGGCTGAGGATGGAGGATTTTGAGTTCCAGGCCAGCCTGGGCAACATAGTAAGACTTTGTCTCAAATAAAACAAAAGCAAAAAACTCCCCCAAAAAACAAACAAAAAAACCCCAAACTTCCCTTGTAATCTTTCAATGGGAACAGTTAGACACAAGGGCAGGACCAGAAAAGATGCAGTCAAGTACAGTTATATGTAAAACGGAATTAGGTTCTCCATCTGGCCAGGGACTCATACTTTCATCATATCTATAATCTGTGTCCCATATGATGCCAGGTTGCTTGTGGAATGACTTTCTTTATATCAGTACTGATACTCTTTCTCATTTTTAAAAAATTCACCTTCTTTTATTGTAACATAGCCCTTTTAGTGAGTGTGGAAGTTTGATGTGAAATGTCTTGCTTCATTATACTGTGATACAGAAACTGCTGTCATGATTGATACTCAAAGTATGACGCAGTTGGTGCCATAAAACTCCTATGCTTATCACTGATGTACATGAACCAGAAGTTATGATTGTGTTTTCTCAGAATGTGCAGATATCAAGAGAGAACGCAGAAGTACTACCATAATCTGTTGACATCCATGAAAGCAATCTAATTGGCTTTCTGTTTTGGTCTGGTAGGGCGGTTATTACAAGGAACCTATCATCTGTTGTGATGTTAAATATGTGCTACAATCTGTCAGAAGTTGACTTTTTAAGGGAAACGTGGTGTGTGAATGCTCAAGTCCCAGGGAACTGCAGTCAAGTGCAGTTATATGTACAATGGAATTAGGTTCTCCATCTGACCAGGGAATCTTACTTTCATCATGTTCAATTAGCTTACTCTTTGCAGAATTCTAAGCTATTTCCAGGGATAATTTCATTCATCATACTTCTGTGCCAAGGGAGGCTTGCTGTAAGTAAGATAAAGGGCATTCCTTCCTTCTACATAGAACTGACAGCATGAAATGGGCTGATGGCAATCTCCGAATGATTAAATGAATAACAGCTGCTTTGTTTGGTCACTGGGTTGGAAGAGCCCAATGTGAAGAGGAAAAATCCAGTTTACAAAGTAAGAGAAGGAAACTCCTTGGATCCTGAGAGTAAGTGGCATCATTTGACCAGGTTTCATCTAGATGGAACGTTATGTTACTGCCACTTTCTAAGAGTTGGGAGTCCTTGCTATCATTCCAAATCATTGCATTCCATTTGTGTTTAATACATGCACAAATTCTATTAATGGTATCTCCTGAGCTGGTACAAATCATACTTACTAAATGTGCACTTTTTGGAACCCAGAATATAAAGATTGGATCTTTTATAGATTCTTTTATGTCTTATATGGCATTGTATAAAGTATATTAGCAATTGTTCAGAAATTGCAAATTTACCAGATGGGTAGGGGTCTTCTATAGTATCACTGAGGGAACCCTCCAAGATCTGATTTGTTTCCTTTACCATTGCTTGTGGTCTTATTGTTTGTTTGTTGTCATTACTAAGCAGAAGGCAGCTGTTTACTTTCTCTTTTTCCCCCTGGTGTTCTCTAGTATAAGACTCCCTTACTTTCATATTATTAAAATTTTTGTTGACTTCATCACTCTCTATGAGACTGCCTTTCCAATTATAACTATACTGTATTTCTATTGCATGTTAAAAGCACACACAAGTCTTTGATCCTGTAGTGGGATTTCTTCATTTTGGAAAAATTTACCAGGCCCCTTTGTGAATGGAAGCCATCAAGCCACCTCAATTTCTTAGAGGCCTGACAGGCTTTCAGATGGTGACAACAGCTCTGGTGTCTCCTCACTGCCTTTTCTTCTCAGGCTAAAGGGCACCAGTTGGGAAGATTAACCCTGTGTCTGGATTTCTACCATTTCTTTTCTATTTTCCCATTGTTTTATAGTTTCTAAGCACATTCACAGCTGTGAGCCAACCAGGCAACAACTAAAGTTTGTTAAAGTATTCTTTTCTCCTTAATCATCACCTCCTCCCCCTCCCTCTCTCCATCCTTCTCCTTCTCCTCCTCCTCCTTCTTCCTTTTCCCTCCTCCTCCTTTTCCTCTTCCTCCTCCTTCCTTTTTTCCTCCTCCTTCTCCTTTTCCTCCTCCTTCCCTTATTCCTTCTCTTTCTCCTCTTCCTTCTCCTTATTCTTTTTCCTTTTCCTCTTCTTCCTCCTTTTTTTTTTTTTGAGACATGATCTTGCTATGTAGCCCAGGCTGGCCTCTAAGTTGTAGTCCTCCTGCCTCAGGGCCAAGTCAGTTTATCCTTCTGTCCTTGACTCCTAACCCATATCCATTATCTAGGGAGAAAGCCAGGCCCCAAATGTGTAGAACAGGCCATATGAACCAGGTCAGAGTGTGCCCTGGTTTGAAATCTGGATAAAGGAATCATGGTAGCCACAGGAAGTCTTTTCTCCCTGCCATTCACTGAGCACAGGATTTTGTCTACATTAGCTAACTTATTCCCCAATAAAGTATTAATGTCATCTCCCTTTTACTCATGGGGTAACTGAGGCTCCAAAGTAACTGGATTGCTTGCTCAAGGTCTACACAGCTAGAAAATGCTGGAGCCACAGTTTGGATTCAAGTCAACGAATACCAAAAAATGTTCCAGTTCACCCAGATTGGAGTCAAAGTACTTCTGCCTCTATTATCACCTGAACAACCCAGAGCAACCATGAATGTTAGGAGGGACCATTACCTGCTTTTTGCATTCGTGTGAACTTCAAGCTTTTATCTGACCTTATTTTATTCAGAGTTCTGAAACCCATCCTGAACCATCTCTCAGATGTCTTCAGCCCCACTCCAAAAACAGAAGTAAAGAGCTAAAGGGGAAGGAAAGGCATGCTGTTAGTTTCTAAGATAATGAAGTGGTACTTACTAAGGTCTCAGGCTATGTAGAGAAAGTCTCTGCAAAATTCTGACCCAGTTTCTCTTGACTATGACAAGAGGGTGGGTGATGGTAATTTTTTAGAGACATTTTTATTGTAGGTGAGTCCTTTCATGGCATATAGTATTTCAAATGAAACAGAAGTGAGAGACAGGTCTGGCATCTGTATGGATTGCCTGTGCTGTCAATGCTTGAGAAGTTACCTCAGTGTCTAACACTCAATCCTGGGCTGGGATGCTTGGGGAGGTTATGTAGATTCTCTCCCATCACATAGGTGGGAAATGGTGGGGCATAGACTTAACCCCTGGGCTATCTATACTCCTGAGCTCCTGCTCACAGACACATTTTAGGCCTGTGCATCATTTTTGAACTGAAGGCACTAGCCAAATCCATTCTACCTGCAACTCTAAGGTAGGGATATTGGGAGGTGACAAACCCTGTGTCTGAGTAAATGAAGATGCAGTGAGGAGCTTTCCAGACATGATTTGCTCTTCAAGAGTGGGTTTCTTCTGTCTATATGGTGCTCATGTGTCCATGATATTTATAGCCTCTCTCTTTGTCTGCACCTCCACCTCCACCTCCATCTCTATCTCTATTTATCTGTTATGTGAGGACACAGCAAGGAGACAGAAAGAGCCCTCTCTATAACCCACCCATGCTGGCAACTTGATCTAGACCTTTTAGCTTCCAGAACTTGGAGAAAATAAATTTCTATTATTTAAGTTACTCAATCAATGGCATTTTGTTATGCAGCCCAAGCTAATATAACCACCCAGAATACGTAATACGCTTAAGTGAAAAGCCATTTTCAATAAACATATACTTACTTTGAAGGATTTATATCGTTCATCATTTAACACAGCATTAACATCAGAACTTTCTCCATCTTCAATAATTTCCTGCATGAACAGTTGAAAAATATTTTAAGTTGCTGGCACTGGACAGTCATGGTGTGAGACTCAAATTCGCAGATCTAGTAGCATGATTTCTCATGAAATGCATACTAACAGCTGGCAGAATGCCTCCCTGGCTGAGCTGGAGAAAACAAGAATGTCCCTATACCCAGAAAATCATAGCTCATCATCCATCCAAAGATCTGTTAACGGTCCTCAGAGATAAGGATAAAGAATGATGAGAGCCCCAGGCCAAAATAGTCACTGACAAATGGATACCCAAATATTTCTGTTAATTCTCTTTTCAGTGGCTATCAGCTTGCTGAAATGAGAAAACTTATCAATTGAGCAGGTTAATTTTGGACCCACTGAAAAACCAGACCATATTCAAGCTCTTATGATGCCTACCTCAACACTTCCCTCCTCTCAGGAATATTTTCCTGGAATAATGTACCCTGCACTTGGCTATACTGAAACTTTCTACAGCATCATCAATTTGACTTGCTGGGAAATCTAAAGATTGTCAAACGCATAAATATCATCCAGGATTCTTCCTGGAACACACAGGTAGAGATGCTGGATCAGCCTACCTCAAGTCATCCCCACTACTGTTCTAGAGGGGCAGACCCACAGTGGAACTGAGCCTTCCGCACAGCCCGTGGACCACCTCCCTGGACTGAGCTTTCAAAGCGAATGAGTCATCACAGTATGAGAGAGCTCTTCTTTTTCCAACTGGCTGGTCCCACACAGCTCCAACTATGATAATACTGGGGTATAGATTATGCATAGATGCATCTAACTCTATAAATACACACAGCTGTCTACAAATATGTCCTCTATAGAGATAGATGTTGAGAGAGATACAGAGAGAGAACAGATTTTCCTGTCAATTACATTGATATGGTATTCACAACTTCTCTCTCTCCCCCTCCCTTACTTATTATTAGATGTGACAAACCCCTTCACCCTTACCTCCATGATACACTTCACCTTGTCCCCCAGACAGGGAATCCCCTCTGTGTCCCTCATGCTGCTGATGGTGAATGGCAGAGATTTCAACACAGAGGCCGCTCTCATAAATGCCAGACAAGAACATTCATTCTCTCTAAACTCAGAATTTTCAGCCAGTATATCAAAGGCATCCTGAGGAATAAAACTAGGTCAGCAAAAGTGTATTCTCAGCCTCTAGCCAGGAGTCTCTCAAAAACACATCTTTCTCTCTTTTATATATGGGATGCGCCTGACATCCTTGAAGGTCAGGATTTGTCTCCTGCACCTTTGCACCTTCCCCTGTGGGACTGAGTGGAGTGCACTTGGAAAGACAGGGGCTGAGTGCATTATGAAGAAACTGAGTTTGAACCAAACAGATGTGGCACTCACCCATTCCACTAAGTCATGACCAGGCATGCTCTATCCCTCTTTGCTGTCTTCCTCACCAGCCTGTGGCCAAGGTTTTGCCATGATCCCTGGGCATCCTCATCTCTTTGCATATACATAAAGCACAGCCAGTGCTTAGCATGGGCTTGTTGAATGCAGACCCAGAGCCAGGGTTATTTAAGGTGAGGCATGATTGCATGGCTAGCAGGGGAGGAAGCAGCTGCAGCTATAGCTGCAATTTCCTGGTCTTCCTTGCAGGTGTGGGACTGAAGTGTAGAAGTGAGAAGCTATATGTTTGATACTCTGCTGACTGTTTTACCCAGGTGACCACTGACCATGAGGCTAGGGGACAAGCAGCTGTGAGTTTGTTGGAGTCATTTGAAACCCTTCAGGGCTGGATAGGGCTTTAGAGATGCTCTAGCTCGTATCTTACTGCATGAAGGAGGAAATGAGGTTTAGAGAGTGGAAATCAACTTGCTCCAGCTAGTTAATATCAGGTGAGAATCCATGTCTGGTCACTTCATGTGTTGGCTTTCCAGTCAAAGCTGTAGATGCGTTATTGCTGTTTCTGTGTCATTTGCTCTTACTATGTCTTGGGATAATTACTGTATTTGGGTTTTCAGAATATTTGCCTTTCATCAGTGTTGTGATCATTAATGACAATTCTCAATACATAGCAATCTACTGTTTCTAGAGAATATAGTCCAAATGTATTTGTCCATTTCCATGAATGAAGGAGACCCTCTTCCCCCCCCCAAAAAAAAGAATTAAAAAAGGAGAACCATTCTTGACAGAAAGAAGAACCAGAGATCAGGCTAGGGAGATGCGTAGATATGGAGAAATCTGTCTCAGATTTGCTGAAAAATCATAATTTAATTTTTAGACTCACAGAAAGGAACCACAAGCCCTTCACTTGCCCTGGGTATTGAGGCAAAGGCTGTTACCGTGAATATGTGGTTATTGTTGTTAAAGTGGTTCTTCTCTGACAAGCGTACTGAGAAATCTTTTGTACAGCAAGTGATGGAGTCTTCTGAGGGTCCGGGATGGGGTTAGGCAAATAGTCTTGTCTCATCTAAACAAATGCAAAAGCATCCATTTTAAATAACAGTTAATAGACATGAGAATAGATATATACAGAAAACAATTAGAGGCAGTGTGATGTCAAATGTCTCTGGGAGGAAGATAAAATGATAGAAGACTCAAATTTTTTGTTACATCTTCAATACTTGAATTTGCTATCATTAACATGTATTTTTTTCCTTTTTAATTAACATATATTATAAAAAATAATGGGTTTCATTGTCATGTTTTGTACATGCAACATGTATTGTTTTTGAAATCATGAAAAAGAACTAGCAAATAATTATCATTTTTCTTTTCTGTGAACTTACATCATTATGGTTCAGGTCCTCTTCCCAAAGGTCTAGCATTATTGGTCAAGGATTTGGAATTAAGAGATTTTAAATTTCTTAATTTTTTTTCCCTGAATGTTCATAGTAAGAAAAAATACAAACCCTCTACTTTTTTGGCTGTCAGAACATCCATGCTTAACTATTTTGAAATACTTGTGTATAAATGTGTTCATAAAAATAACTCCCATTTGTTCAGTGCCAGGCACAGTATTGCTTTCCATGTGTGTTATTTCAATCCTCATGCCTTCCTTATGAGGTGGACATTTTGGTTATAGAGAAGCAAAGGTAAGTGACTTGCAGAGAATCCGGGGATTCTGAACCCCATGTTCTTGCCCATCAAACAAAGGATAATGAAGATCACAACCAGGACACTTACAACAAGCTGGTGTTTTCCTGTCATCTGCACTGGGTTCCCTGCTCTCATGCATTCTATCAACCAGGAGACGTCCAAGAGTTCTAGCTGGGAGCTGGCTTTGATGTTTTGTAACTGAAGCCATTCCAGAACGTCTGAGCCCGAGTTGTTCTCTGCTACAATGTGGGTGACAGAATCACTGGAAAATGTAAGACAAAGTTATCAGCTAAAGGAGCTTTCAAAATTATAATCTCTCCTCTGTCCTCCAGGTTTCAGTGTTCCATCTGGTAGAGAAAGATGCACACTAGAGCTGGCCATAGGCCTGGAGAACTCAGGACTCCATGCAAGGAGAGGTCTATATCACATGTCAGATGCAAAAAAAAAAAAAAAAAGACAATATTCACAAGACTGTAGTGTCAATGGACAGCCAAGATCCAGAGAAGATGGAAGGTGAAATTGTAATTGTCCTTCAAGTAGCATGTACGGTTTTGGTGTGTCATTTCATTTTTATTTGTGCAATACCTTAATCCACTAGCTTTCAAACTTGCTTGACTGCGACCCATAACTAGAAATATATTTTATATCATGACCTAAAATTCAAACAGAAATTGCTGTAGATGTAAATGTGCTTATCTGTTTTGGTCCAGTTAGGCTGCTATAACAAATTACCTTAGATGGGTAGTTTTTAAATGACAGAAATTTATTGCTCACAGTTTTGGAAGCTGGGAAGACCAAGATCAAGGCACTGATAGCTTTGGTGTCTGTGGAGGGTCGACTCCTGATAAACGGCACCTGTGGAGCATCCTCACGTGGTGGGAGGGGAAGGCAGTTCTCTGGAATCTCTTCTATAAGGGTATTAATTCCATTCACCAGGGCGGAGTCCTCATGACCTAACTGCTTTGCAAATGTCCCACCTAATACTGTCACCTTGGAGATGAGTTTCCAACATGTGAGTTTTAGGGGACACAAACATTCAGACCACAGCAACATCCCAATAAGTTTATTTCATTAATAGGTTATGACCCGCCTTTGGGAAATTTGTGTCTTGAAGTACACCCCTGTGATATAAGACAGGCAGGGGTCTTTGTCCTAACAACTATCGGGCATTTATCATATCTAACACACTTTACATTTATAGTCACATTTAATATTCACACAGCTCCTCAAATAAGTGCTGTGCTATTCACACTTAAAAATGAGAATACTAGGTGAGTATGAACCTGTAATGCCAGCACTTGGGAGGCTGAGGCAGGGGGATCAAGAGTTCAAAGCCAGCCTATGCTACATAGCAAGACTGTCTCAGAGAGAGGATGGAGAGAGAAAGAGGCGAGAGAGAGAGAGAGAAAGAGAGAGAGAGAGAGAGAGAGAGAACTGAAAAACAACTGTTAAGTGAAATCTTGAAGATCACACAGCTATTAAATTATATCCTTTTTGATTGTCATATCTAGGTCAGGTATGCTATGTCTAGTTTTCAACAAATCTTTATAGTTAGCATCATATCATTGACCTACTGATTTTTAAGGTCCCTTCAGTTCAAATAGTATGTAAATCCAGGAAATGGTGAGGCCAAACCAGGCACCCAGTACAAAAATAAAGTTTTTCTATTTCTTTTCAATTTCTCTTCCTTGACTTTCTCTCTCTCTCTCTCTCTCTCTTTGATTGACTCTTCAATCCATTGGGTATTTTGGGTTCACTATTATATGCATAGCCCTCAGTTCCTTGTGGTGGTGGTAAGAGTTGGGTACCAAAGAAGACAAGGGAGGTTTCCTGGTATTAGTTTCTTACATGAAATAAACAATTAACAGCGTGACTCATGAGAAGACATGAGGCACCAACAAGACCTACAAGTGGTATTCAGAGAAGGAAAAGAGCTTGGCCTAAGCTTGGAGAAGTGGGTGACTTTGTGGAAGAGCTGGGGTTTATATGTGGTTTGTGTGGATCAGTAGGGGTATGGTAGCTATCTGGAAGGCAGAACTTTGACTTCTCCTTGAAGAAAAGGTTCAGAGGCAAGAGGGACAGGGAAGGAATGGTCTGGACTGCAGTTGCGGAAGTTATGTTCAGAAATTGTTGTAGAAGTGCTGAGCAGATAGGGATGGCTGCATTACAGAGGGTCTTAAAAGGCTAGTATGGATGGTTGACTCTTCTATTCTGGGGTTGGAACCCAGAGAAGGCCTTTGTGAGCTGATCTGATAGCATTACAGTGTTATTTAAAAAGACTAATGTGCACATTATGACTTGGAGGGGAGAAGAATGGGGTGGGGACTGCATGGGGAGCTGATTAGGATGATGAACAATAGACCAGGTGTAAGCCAATTCTAACCCAGTCTGGTTCCTGTAGAACCAGAAAGGAAGATGAAGGAGAAATACGAGGACACATGGTGTTAGCGCACCTGTGAAAGGTGAAGTGGAGAATAGAGTCTAATTACTCCAACAGATTCATCACAGCAAAGTAATAGCAACCTGGTGGACACAGAGATTGAAGAAATGATACCACTGTGCAGAAGGGTTAGGGAGGGGAACTGAAGTTATTTCAGGCATTTTGCATTAGAAGATGGCAGGAAATCTAAATTAAAATATCTTCTTGACAGGTGAGATCTGAGGTTGGTGCCAGGAGAGAGGTGGAGGCTCAAGGCTGGAGCTGAGACTATGTGGTGGCAGGATGTACTGAGGTCCAAGAAGAAGTAAGGTGTGGTCAAACAAACTTGCAAGGTCTGAAGAAAGACTGGTAACTGCCTTGTGAGTCTAGGTTCACATGACTCCAAAAATTATTTATAGGGCTGGAGGACAGGCTCAAGCAGTAGAGTGCCTGCCTAGTAAGCGTGAGGCTCTGAGTTCAAAACCCAGTACTGCCAAACAATTATTTATAATAAACTTCTTGAAAGGTGCTTTATGTCAAGACTGTAAGGAGACAACTAAAAAATTAATAGATTTATATAGGAAGTATTAGTTCACCTATGTCTACCCTTGAGAGGATAACATAAAACATCTTTGTTCTTATAATATTTATTGTAATATGGTTGAATAAGTGTTAATATTTTTTATTATTATAAATCGTATTTGCCCAAGCTCAGAGGAAAGGTATACTGAGGGAGGAGTCCTGAAGCTCCACTTCCCAATCCCTGCTACCACCCCACAGCTTCTTCTAGAATTTCCCTACACAGTGAGGGTGTATCCAAGCTACACCAATGGTTAAGAATTATATATGCTTCTTACTTCATAGGAGCAGATGTGGGGGTGATAGGTTCTACATCTTAAGAAGGAAGACTCTGATTTAAACTTCCAAATCCTGGGCTGGCCGAGTGTCTCAAGCAGTAAGATCACCAGCTTAGCAAGCATGAGGCCCTGAGTTCAAACCCAGCAATCGCCCAAAAAAAACGAATAAACTTCCAAATCCTGCTCAAAAAGCAACTAGCAGACAAAACAAGAACAATAATAAGCACACAAAAACAAAGAATTAGAGAAACAACACCTCCAAGCTCAGTATTGCTGGTCACTTTGTCAACAAGGTAAGAGTTGCAAGTCAGCATTTAGAAACTTTGGTCATCATTTGGCACCACACCAATAGTTTTATTGCTTGTTTGTTTTTTAAATAAAAGCATTGATCTAAAAGAATTGTTTTGTAATCTAGTCACTTGTGACAAATAATTTAAGAAATATAAATGAGAGAATGATTTCTGTCCTGGCCTAAGCTATATGTCTCATCTTCTTGGGTTGCCTGAGTTCACCTGACCTTCTCTACCTGGTGGTCTGAATATGGGTTATGAAGCACTTCCTTGAATTGGTACTGCCACCAAAAGAGTCCAGAAAATTCCGCCTCTGTCTGTGTACCTCTTCATTTTCAGTCCTGAGCCCTCACCAATCAGTATCACCAGGAGACTTGCTCCTCCAGTGCATTCCACTGGCAATTTCTCATTGCTATGTTGTGGCATTGATTTCTGTTTGCTGGTTCATGGGTTTCTCTCTACTTTGGGTGCTTTAATATTGAAAATATTAATAATATTGGTGCACAATTCATATTTATTTATCAAATCCTTATGAGACAGGTACTATCATCCTCATCTAAATATGAGAATAAAGTACCCTGGAATTGTTAAGAATTTTATCCTATTAATAATTGGTGGGGCAGGAATTTGATACTAAGTCTGTTTTTAATCCAAGGCCTGTGAGCTTGACCATGGTCTGATATATAAGTTAGTAATATAGATATAAATCAACACAGGATTTTTAAACCATGGTTTTTATAGTTTTTTGTTTTGTTTTGTTTTTTTGGTGGAACTGGCATTTAAACTCAGGGTTTCTTTGCACTTGCTAGGCCTATAGCTCTTTTTTTTCCCTCTGGTTAGAGATAGAACCTTACTTTTTTTCTTGGGCCAACATGGACCATGATCCTCTTATTTTACGCTTCCTGCCACTGTAACTGAACATCTAGAATGGAATCTGGACAAACAGTTATTGAAACACATATAGGAGGAATAAGTTCTAACGTTCATCTCTATGGTACAGTGTGGTGAGCATAATTCACAGTAAGCTACCACTTACTTCATGGAGCTTGAAGACTCCAAACGCAAAGGAAACGATAAATGTATGAAGAAATGGAAACACTCATTACTTCAATTTGACTGTTATGGTTGTGTACATGAATTGAATTATTATCCTGTACCCCACAAATGTGTATACTTATTATGTATCAAAACACCTTAAGAATATAATTTTACATGAAATTTTTATATATTGTGTTGGGGTCCGAGGTTGACCACCCCTCAGAGGAACAAAAGACACTCACAATAATGTAAGCCACAAAAGCGAGGTTTATTTCCAGCCAGCTGGGGTCCGGGTATCCGCCCGACGCAGTGGGTTTCAACACGGACCCCGAATACAAAGTTCAGGCTGCTTTTATATTTTTTTAGACATTAGTCACGGTCACACAGCAATTTTTATGGTCCCTGGGGTCACATATTTCTGATATCACCCACATCTTGGTGGTGGGGCAAGATTACTTGAAGATTATTTATCAGGAATTTGATAAACACCAGGTGTCTTAACTCATTGACTCACATACCATTTTAGCAAGATTAACCAGAAACAGTCCCTGTTCCCAGAAACCGTCCCACCTCCCTTAGTTCCAGTAAGTGGTGGCTTGGGTCATGTTAGCCATGGCCGGTTTCAGGCTGACTGGGCTGCAAGCCTCAAAGGTACCCT